ATTATTATTATTATTATTATTATTATTATTATTATTATTATTATTATTATTATTATTATTATTATTATTATTATTATTATTATTATTATTATTATTATTATTATTATTATTATTATTGTTATTGTTATTATTATTGTTATTGCCATTGTTATTGTTATTGTCATTGTTGCTATTACTATTATTAAGTGTTATGATTATTATGCTATTTACAGATGGCGAGGTAGCATTTGGAAATCAATTTTCAACGAGCTTGTTATATGGATGATTGCCTATGCTTGTCTTTCTATACTATACAATTTTATATTACCAGAAAGTTACAGAAGGTTTGATTTAAAAGTTAAGCAATAAAATTGAATAAGCCAATCTTTTCCTCATTGCTAACATTCTTTTGTTAAAAAAAAAAAAAAATAGTTTACTTTCTGCCCTACAATGATAAACAAATACAATATTCATTTTATATTTCATTCAAACATTTTTACATTCTAAAAATGACAATGACATTTAAAAATGACATGTTTGATGTCAACGATATATTCTAAATTATCTGATAATTATAGTATTTAATCACAATAAGTATGGAAAATTTGAATTATCAAAATTGTCTATCAATTGATACAATGATATAAATTAACTTCTTGAGAAAAAAAAAGCTAGCAATTTAAATTTAGTTTATTCACTTATTAAACTTAATTCATTCCTCTAAACTTATTTATTCAATAGTTAATTTAGTAATATTAATTGCAGTTATTTAACTGCTAAATTCTACTTAATTTACTTCTCAAGGAAAATTAATTTTTGATTTATTTATCTGTTTAGTTCATTCCTCTTAAGTTATTTATCTAATAGTTAAGCTCATTTTTATTATTTCTGATTATTTAATTGCTAAATTATCACTAATTTATTCATCTTAACATTATTCATTTAATATTCCAGAAACAAAAGCGAAAATTTTGTGCAAATCGAATAAATAAAAATGAATCAAAAAAAAAAGTATATATTTCTTTTTTTTTTGAACTTTTCAAATATATATTTTTATAGAATTTTTGAAAATGTATGCCGTTTATTTACAAAATATACCGATGTAATGCCATTAACATTTATGCTTGGCTTTTTTATCAATATTGTTGTTAATAGATTTTGGAATTCATTACATAATATTGGTTGGATTGATACGTAAGTTTATTTTCTTTTCAAATTGAAGAAAAATAATTTAATTGTATATTTGTTAGTGACAAAAGAAAAAACAATAATAATAATAATACAGCAATATGAGTTTATTTGATAATTTGATTAAATAAAAAATACAATATTCTTTTTAAATAAAATAATTTTTAGAATTTTGCAGAATTAAATTTTTAAATTATTAAATAATCGTTTGTCAAAAAAAAAAAAATGAAATTAGAATTTATTTGTGCAAGCGTCATAGTTAATTAGTTCTTGATTAATTAATAACTTATAACTGAGTTATGAAGTTATATATATATATATATATATATATATATATATA